TTGCAGACATATTTAAAATCCTACTCCATTTTTTCCTCACCCACCCTCTCCTTACAGGTATTTTTAGGCTTGTTTGCATCTTATGTATATTTTCTATGTTCTAAATTTTATATAAAATGTCACAATTTTACCTTTTACAATTGTTCATACTCAAAATATTTTTCATTTGTATATAAATATCTCTAGTTTATTTACCTTTACGAGTTTTATCAAAAGTATATGAGGGTTACAGAGATGGCTCAGTGGTTAAGAACTTGCTGTTCTTTCAGGTTTGATTCTCACATGGTGGCTCAAACCATCTCTGACTCCAGTTTCAGGGGCCAACTCTGGCCCCCTACGGCACCTTCACTCATGTGACATACCCATATGCAGACACACACACACTTAGATATAATTAGATATAATTTAACTTGGGTTTTCTCTTTCTAATAAATTTAAAGCACTTTTCATTATGTATTCTGGATGATTAAATTCGAATTTTTATCTTTTGGTTAGCTGAATCTACCATCTTCCCTGCTGGCTCACAATGCCACCCTTGTTTGTTACATGCCACATTCCCATAAATTCAGGAGTCACTTTCCAGGTTCTCTGTCTTGGCTTATTTGTGCACTAATGCCACACTGCCTCATGTACAGAAAATCTGCTTGTCATGAGAGGAGGAACTTTTATTTTGATCTTGCGTTTGTTTTTGGTTTTTGGTTTGTTGTGACAGGATTTCTGTGTAGCCTTGGCTGTCCTGGAACTTGCTCTATAGACCAGGGTGGCCTCAAACTAGCAGAGATCCACCTGCCTCTGCCTCCCAAGTGCTGGGATTAAAGGCGGGGACCACCAACGTCCAGCTTTAGATTTTTATTTTTAGCCATCCTCTCTTTACATTTATTCCTAAGTACATTAATTATTTTCCAGGGTTAGAAGTCAAACCCAAGGCAGGGCAAGTAATCTACCTGTGAGCTATACTCTATGCTCTCTTTATGATTTGTTAACATAAATTGTCTTTTCTAAAAATTATAGTTTTTAAGACCATAGTCTCAAGAGATCAATTCTATAGTTCCCATAAATGATAGTTTCTGTTTGTTGTAGGCATGCTATTAACTTTATACATTGATTTTGTATGTAGCAGCATTCTGCATTCTCTTAGTGTAATCATTTACCTGTAGAATCTTTTGGATTTTCTATGACAATACCCACACATTCAATTCTTAAAGATATTTTTCAAAAATAATGCAGAGTAAATTTCCACACTGAAAATTATAAAACACTACAGAAAATTAAAGATTTAAAAAGCTTTATGGATCAAAGACTAAACATGCTGGTTCTTCCCTAAATTTCTCTATGAGTCTACACATACCCAGTCAAAATTCCAACAGACTTTTTTTTTTTTTTTTTTTTTTTGGAGGAAATTAACAAAAAAACTTCCCCTTCCCCCCCCCCCTTCCCCCCCCCCCCCTCACCTTTCT